TGCACTGCAGGAGTTCTTCACCAGTCGGATCTCCCGCCCTACATTTGAGCCGCGTTTTAAACCTCAGTTGTCATGTCAAGTAAGGAGATCCTTGTAAGGACCTGTGACGTAAGCAAAACACTGGTGGGCGTAAGCCCGCGTAAGCAATTTTAGCCAATGTTGTTGGCGTAAGAGATTTTTAGTGATTTGTGAAATGGCAGTTTTGGACAAAGAACCTTTTATATTCCAAGCTTACAGCTTAACATACATCCATGGGATCACTGTCAGGTTGCTGGATATTTGTTTCCTCAATTGGCGGCAAGCTCCATGCTGCAGGTTGAATGTGATTCTGATGATTCTGCAAGATTTAATTGCATGGAAAACGAAATCATGATAAAGCCCACAATGAAAAGGGTTGTCCACCAAGACAAGGAGTTTTAACAACTGCACTGTACTATCGGATGGAAACAGCAACACTGTAATGTGCCCATAGTGTCATACCTTTTTCAAGACCTTCACCTCCAAACTTTGTTTCCGGGTTGGAAGCCTAAAATCCACGTAAGGTCCGCGTAAGGTCCGCGTAAGCGGCGCGTAAGCCAAAGCTGCTTTTGCCAGTAGTTGCCCATGTCTCCCAAACACAAATCATTTTCGCAACTTGGTGCAGAGCGCCAGCGACTTGTCGCAAAGACCGTCTCGGACATTTTGGAACAACATTGCCCTTCTCTGGATGAAGCACACCTCTTGCCGAACAAGGCTTTCTCTAGATGTCAATCTGTCCTTCCTGGCCTGTCCGCTATCAGTGGTGCCCAGTCTGTCTGTCGTGCCCGCGCGCTCAGCAGAGGTGCTGCCAAGAAGCGTCGTCAACTTCGTCATCTGCGGGCTTCTTCTGTTGCTGCGTCTTCATCGGCTTCATCTTCTTCGTCCACGTCATCATCTTCTACTGCTTGATGCTGCCTAGAAACGCTGCGGTTCCTGCAGGTAAAAGTTGCTGCGCGTAAGCTGGGGCTGTGGCCCTGTACTAAAAATGTCCAGCGTAAGGTCTGCGTAAGCCGGTTTATTCCGCGTAAGCAAAACTGCGCGCGCGTAAGCAAAACGTAAGACGCGGCGTAAGCGTTGCCTTGTTTGGTGCCGGGATATAAGACGTTTAAAACACAGCTCATTTGGTCGCACTACCAAGGTCGTGACTTGTACGTGCCAGACGAGGACTCTGAGAACGGCGGCTTCTTGTCCGTGTCCAAGGCGCAATGTCTCACAGGCGCTCGGTTTCTTCGGGGAGAGGAGACGGTCTTTCGACACACCACTACTGCTGCGAAAGCA